AGCAAATGTGGCAGTATGGTTTGAATGTATTGCCCCCCAACAAAGTTCATGTGCTGGAAAATTAATCCCCAATGGAACAGTGTTGAGAAGTGGGAATTTCTGGAGGTGACTGGATTAATGGTATTACTGTGGGAGTGAATTTCTTTAAAAAGTAAGTTGCCCTCTCTCATGTGCTCTCTTGCCATGTGATGCCTTCTATCAGGTTACTATGCAGCAAGAAGGCCCTCCCCAGACACAGCCCCTAATCTTGGACTTCCCAGAACCATGAGCCAAATAAATTTCTTTTCATTATAAGTTATCCAATTTCAGGTTTTTTTCTTTTTTCTTTTTTTTCTTTTTTTGAGGCAGGGTCTTGCTCTGTCACTCAGGCAAGAGGATTGCTTGAGCCTGGGAGGCTGAGTCTGCAGTGAGCTGTGATCATGACACTGCAGCCTCGACCTCCTAGGCTCAAGCAATCCTGCCTTAGTCACCCAAGCAGCTGGGACTACAGGCATGTGCCACCGCACCTGGCTAATTTTTGTAATTTGTGTGTCTGTAGAGACAGGGTTTTGCCATGTCCCCCCAGGCTGATCTCAGACTTCTGGGCTCAAGTGATCTGCCCACGTTGACCTCCCGAAGTGCTGGGATCACAGGCATGAGCCACTGCACTTGGCCCCAGTTTCAGGTATTCTAATGGCAGCACAAAACAGACAAAGGCAGACACACAATGTCATAAAAATGAAGGAGAAGAAGACTTAAAAAGGAGGAAGATACTCTGCATTTATCCTACAGATAAACTCACGAATATAGGAAACTAGGAAGTTATTCAAAGGGTGATGTAGGGTTAGATGTGCAGATAAGAAACAGTCTCCAAGATAGAAGGGAATAAAGCAAGACACAGAAATTGTACATGGCATGCTAACATCCTTGTGTGTGATGTAGACAATTTCTGGGCTTGAACACATCTTCTCTAGAAGGTCACACAAGAACCTGGTTGCAGTGGGTGGCTCTGGGAAGGAGAACCGAGAAGGCTAGCTAGGAGTCATGGGTGAGGGGAGTCTTAATTTCACTTTGTAGCTTTTGACGCTGCTTGAATATTTTATTTGTTCATTTTTTTTTAAAGGAGAAAGGGTTAGAGCACCTAATAATATGGTGAGGCCAAGAAAGATGAGGCAAACTTATGAGAGGAGGCAGTTTTCAGGCCATTGATGACTCAATGAGAAAAATATCAACAGGATGGTGGAAGCAGAAGCCAGGTTGCACCAAACTGAGGAAAGAATAAATTGTCATCAAGTGGAAATAGGAAGAACTGGCAACTCTTTCAAAAATGTGTTTGTATGCAAAGTAAGGCAGGGCAGTAGCCTTAGCAGTAGTAAGGGTAGTAGTGGAGGAGTCCCAGGTTTGAGGAAGGGGATTTTTTCATGAAAAAGACCTAGCAGGTTTATGCACAAAGGAGAAGACCAGGAGTCAGTGCAGACAGCCGCTGCTTTTGCCTAGCAAGCAGGCATTGCCTTTTCTTCTGGTGACAGTGGCTTTACTTTTCTTCAAGGATGCATTCCCTCTCTTCTTTCAAAATGTCTGATTTCGATGGGACATTCCTTCTCTTCTTTCAAAATGTCTGGATTAGATCCAGTTCCCTCGCAAAGAGGGGCAGGTGACCCAGGCCCAGCCAATCAGCGTATTCCATCCCCCTGGTGCAGTGAGCGATTCCTTTGGAGATGGACATATGACCCAATGCCTTCTCCTGAGACTGAGTCCTAGGCTGCTGGGATTTTATAAAAAGGAAGTCCTTTTTTGGGGGGTAGAAGTTGCAGAGATAATGGGACATAAACTGGGAGCTGCTATGTGCCCAAGAAAGCCTTCTGAGAATGAAGAGCGAAGCCCATGCGGTGGGAAAGTAATCCTAGCTGATAGAGAGAAATGTTTTCCTGCTGGCATTGTTTGGGACCGCAAGCCATCTACATCTGAATACCATCATTGTCTTTCACTTAAAAGTCAATTTAAATCGGGTTCCTGTTTGAAGCTATAGAGGCTTTGCTGATTCAGAGAGAAGCTGTAGACACAAACTAAATAGGGAGGTATGCATGAATAATTGAGAGGGTGGAGACCGGAGCAGGGGTGAGGGTAAGTCTCACATGAGTTGGGGGAGGGAACATATATTTGCCAAGACATAGACGGAAGCAGGGCAAGGAAGTCAAGACGACTATGGAGGTCAGGGAGGTGGCAGGGAGCTGAGGGTTTCTAACCTGTGGGCACCTACGGGGCCTCAATCTTCCTCATGATTTAGGGCAGAAGGCCCCATCCCTGGGCCATGGACTGGTATCAAAATAACAATAATAACAATAAAGTCCTGCATCCATTAAGTGGAGTGCCAGCTTTTGTTTGTTTGTTTGTTTTTGCCATGGTTCTGTTACATTCCCTGTGTAAGTCACTTGGGCAAATCTCTAGGCCTCTGCCCATCTATAGAATGGAGCAGTTAAATTCCACTTCTGAGGTCATCTTTCAGCTATCGACTTCAATTATATTATACTTCAGTTGTTATTCCCAGACATAACCTTACATTTTCATGCTCTCCCAACACGCAGCCTTCCCATCTATCATTTCAATTCAAACTGTTGGCTTTTCTGCCAGGGGATATCTCGAAGTCATGTATCTGGCAGGTTCTATGGTTGACTGTGCCCCCACAAAGTTCATGTGTTAGAGACTGAATCTCCAGTGCAACAGTGTTGAGAGGTGGCACCTCATGAAGATTTAACACCATTATCTTGGGAGTGGCTTCCTGATAAAAGGGATGAGTTTGGCTCCCTTTCTTTCCCCCGCATGTGACATACACATATGCACATGCACACACATGCACACACACATACATGCACACACACACACACACACACATGTATGCATACTCTCTCTTGCCCTTCCCCTTCTGCCATGGAAGACACAGTAAGAAGTCTCTCACCAGATGCAAGCCCCTTACCCTTAGAATTCCTAGCCTCCAGAATGGTAAGAAATAAATTTCTTTTCTTTATAAATTACCTAGTCTGCGGTATTCAGTTATAGCAACACAAAATGAACTAAGGCAGCAACTGGTTTAGGAACTTCACTTGGCTCAGGAACCTGCCAATTCCAGCCATCTAAAGGGAGCCTGGTTTGATCTGAAGTTTAAATGGGTTACCCACGGGTATGTAGACAGGTGGAGAGAGACAGACTCCAAGCTATGTGTCCTAAATGGCTCTTGGCTATTTGTTAGTCAGTATATAAATGTAGGTTGATATTTTCACTAAGATCTCTCCAAACTCCACATAATGGATACCCCAAAAGAACAACTGGAACTGAGTGGGAAAATCTCTACTCCTTAATGAGCCTGTCTCGACTGCCTCATTTCAATGCTGCCATGCCCTCTTTCAGAGGTTAGTGGATGTATGCTGTCTTTGCCAGCCTTAAAATCAAAGCCTTAAGGAACAAATACGATTTGCATCTCTTAAAATCCTGCCAGCGAGTTATAAAAGGTGTGAAGATGCTACTTATTTGTTGCAATATTTTAAAATAAATTTAAATCATTTGAATTGTAAGACTATTCAGTCTTTTTCTATTATGTAATAGACACCATTCGATGGTGTTATCATGACTCTCTCCTGTCAGCACAACCACAAACCTTACCAGGGGCTCCAAGTGCTTCTAATAATCTTTACAAGGGTCTTGGGCAGTGTACAGTCCAGGGATCAAGTCCTGGCTCCTCCGCTTTCTAGTTGCTAGACCTTGGGCAAATGCCTTACCTTTTCCAAGCTCTAGTTCCTCATCTACAACATGGTGATAACCCTACCTTATGGGGTTGAGAGAATTAAATGAGGCAATGAATAGAAGGCATTAAAACAGTGCCTGATGCCTATAAGAATTCAACATATTTTCTAATATATTTGAACAGTAAAGGGTTTTATGAGAATTATTTTAAATCACAATTTTCAAAAAGGAATTGTTCTCCTGAGTATTTGATACTTTGGGGGAGTTAGGTTCTGTGCTTAAATAAATCATTTTGAGTAAGTGTTAGATCCTTTTCTTAAGCCTTGAATTTGGAGTTTTAACAGCAAACATACAAAGGTTACGCTTTCCGGCTTCAATTCAGAAATGTCAGCACATCAAACACACACATTCAGACACACACACACAGAGGCACTCACTCATACAGTGTAAAGGGCAATTGGGTTTGGAAGAGAATGTCACATGAACAGAATTGCAGCTCATTAAAGCAGTACTTGAAGCTTTTGACCTCAGCTACATAAACAATGTTTTCGGATGACAGAATTGCCAAGAAACCAACTCCTGTAAGTATGATTTAGTTTCTGAAGCAGTTCAGCATTTAGGCTCTCAGAGGATACGGGCAATGGGATGTGAGCAGATAACCCATGTAGTATTTTGGAAATGATACTAACAGAGCATAGGACAAGGGCCTTTGCAAGCTATAAAAGTTTGCCAGGTTTTTAGCCTTTCCTAACGTGCAGATGCCTCAGAATTATGGGGCTTTCAGTAAAGTGCAGATAAAAATAGGTAACAAGAGCAGAAATGATTGGAATCAGTCTGTCATACAAGTGGACTTCAACTCTGGGAGGCCTGACACAGGCTAGAATGGCAGGAAGGAGGGAATGAGTATTCTAGTGATGTCTAGATAGGACTGATGGTTGCTTCAATGTAAGCAGCAGGGGAAAGAGGCTCTTACTGTCTACTTCTCATCAAGTTGTACTCCTTAGGCCCTGCCCAGGGAGCACTGATGATCAGATGCATCATATTTTAGAACACTTGACAATTTAGTTGACCACATTTTAGAACAACTGATGATCTGATTGATCATATATTAAAAGAATACTAGAGTCATGTTTACTAGTGGGCAGATCATTGTACACACACTCTAGCACTTAACACTCCACAGGTGCCGGGCACAGTGGCTCACACCTGTAACTCCAGCACTTTCAGAGGCAGAGTGGGGAGGATCACTAGAGGCCAGGAGTTTGAGATCAGCATGGGCAGTTAATTAAAAAAAAAAAAAAAACAGAAAAAACAAATAAATAAAAAGCAGAGAAAACTCCCCAGACTGTAATGAAGCCGACTTAGCTTTCTCTTCCCCTTCACCTTGCTGCTTCAATGCTGCTAGCTGGGTTGTCTTCTTACGCAGCTGAATCCTTGTGCCCCGGGCCCATCCCCCTACCCAGTTTTCACAGTGAGCCCTCCGTTAGGTGTAATGGACACTATGGGAGCCTTTCAGAGGAAGGGTGACAGGACCTCATTAAGGCAATTCATGACAACGCATGAATGACATCAAACTCTCCATTAGGCATTTCAATGTGAACATATTACCTAGTATATCTTGTCCTGCGGCATTATAGCCCCTTGTACTACTACTTCTGCAACAACATATGCTCACACATGCCGAAGACTCAATGCACCTTTTGCTACAAGTCAGCAAAATGCTGAGCTGGATCCCAGACACAAGGGCATTCCCTGGGCACAGCCCTCAGCCACAGCACCCTCCGATATCACTACATCCTTTGCATTGACAGGAGTAAGTCCAGCCAAGTGCACAACCATGTGCTCCTGCTTGATGCCCTGCAAGCCAGCCCTCTGTACCACAGAAGCTTTCCTGACCATCTTTTTCATTCATTCATCCTATTGCTGGACCAAACACTTGGCTACCATGTTTTATACTTGAGGAGCAATCATGTGGGCAGTCTGCAGGGACTCACGTTCATCAGTGCCTTCATGCCCCTATGAGACAATGACTGAATACCTACAAGGTGCCAGGAAGTGGGGAGGACCTGGAGATGTCAAAATGAGCACAACTTGGGGGTTCTCAAACAGCTCCAACCTGTCCAGGCTCCTATCACTTCTTGCCTGGATTATGGCAAGAGTCTTCACCAGTCTCCCTGATTTTGCCCTTGCCCCTATAGCACTTAGAGCAATCCTTTAAAAACCCAAAGTCAGAACATGTTATTTCTTGGCTCATGAGCTGGAGTAAAAGCCAAAGATCCTTCAGTGGTCTGTGCTTTCCCCTGGCCTCTCTAATCTCATTCCCTTTTCCTTTTTCCCTCAACCCCTCAGCTCAGTCACCTGGACTTCTTACTCCCCCTTGACCATGCCAGGCAAGCTCCTGCCTCAGGGCCTTTGCATCTGCTACTACCGCCCAAATCACTCTTCCCTCTCATCCAGATATATATATGGCTCTCACCTCCCTTATCTTCTTCCTGTATTTGCTGAAATGTCATTTTCTCCACCTCCTCTATTATATGGACATCTCCCTGACCTGGCTCTTCCAATCTCCATTCCTACTTCAGCTTCTGGCATAATGTTTATCAACTTCTGACACAGTGTACATTTCATTTGTTTCTATGTTTATTATTTTGCCTACTCTCCCTAGAATATAAGCTCCATGAGGACAGGGATTTTAACTATTTTTAATGCTGTGTCCCCAGCACCTAGAAGAGAACCTAACCTCAGCACCCTCTGAAAGGATGACTTGATATCTGACAACATCCCCACTGGAGGACAGAATCAGCACGCACTTCTTCCCAAACCACTGCTCCATCATGCACTCTGCAACACAGTCTGCCCTTCAATACTGAAACCACTCTCCATCATGCACTCTGCAACACAGTCTGCCCTTCAATACCCAACCCACTCTCCATCATGCACTCTGCAACACAGTCTGCCCTTCAATACCCAAACCATCACCTTCCTCCCACCACAAGCTGACCAGCAATAGCCTGCTGTGTGCCCTGAACCATAGCTTCACCAGAACATTCTATACTTAACTGTATATACCCCTTCACTACAGCCCTTACTACACAGGCTCTACCTACTGCACTGACTACAATAGGATCTGCCAATCAACTCACAGGCCTGCTGCACCCTGCAGCACGGAGTTCTAGCCGCTGCTACACAAAGATGGAGTCCCTGGTCCCACAGCGTCCTATGCCCTGGGAGCCTGTGAGAAATGCAGAATCTCAAACCCCACCCCAGACTGGCTGAGTAAGAATGTAAACCAGATGCCCACGTGACTCGTGTGTGTGCATTAAAGTTTAAGACGCTCTGCTCAGCTATATCATGGCATCTGTAGCACTGGATTGGACTGTGTGAGGTTAGACTGTAGGAATCTGCAGACCTCTCTACCCAGAGTCTAACGATTCAATGCATTACATCTTCAGATCCTTTACCAGCACTCTCCCAACACACACTGCAAAACCACATGATGCCATGACAGTTTGCAAATTCAGCAGCCAAATTACAGCCCTTTATAAATAGGGTAGTAACTTACACAACAACCAATTTATTTGCGAAACCCTGCTGTACAGAAGAAAAACACCATGCACTCTAATATATATCCCTGAAGACTCCTTTATGTTCCACAGCACAGTGTATTATAGCCTCTTGTTTTATGGCCATTCATTCATTCAGTAAGAATTCTTGAGCACCTGTAATATGCTAAACCCTATGCTAGGCACTGGGATTTGACACTGAGAAAGTCACAATCTTAAAGTAGTCAAAAAGACAGCATGAGATTGAACACGTTATTACAACATGTGATGAGTTTGTTGATGGAACAGTAGCAGATCTCTACTGAGATATCAATAAGAGGCTCTACTGATTTGATGAGAGGGAAAAGGAAAGGCATGGTGGGGATCAGGGGGCCGGTGAGAGCATAGGAAAGGGCTTTGGGCATCGCAGGTGCATGGCCCTGCACAGACGAAGCAGGCAAGGGAAAACAAGGCACTGCATGTCTGAGGAAATGAAAGAGGCCCACGAATGCTGCTCTTGGAGCCAGGAGCTAAATCTAGGAAGAGGGCAGAGGTCTAGCATTGGAAGACCTCAAAAGCCACATATGCCAAGGAGCAATAGATACTAGACTGGGGAACAGAGAACCATCTGGGAGTTTTAAAGCAAGACACAATCAGACGAACATTTTACAAAAATGACTTTTGTTCTCTGCAACAATACACCAAATCGAGTGTATTTCAATACAGTTTCAAACAATGCTCTGTAAATAGCTCCTTGCCACAATAAAAGATGGCATTGAGAACAACTTAAAAAAAACTCCATTTACAGTTATTTTAATGAACCTCCAATAATAGCACCCTTCACTGATGTTTGAATATAATCCTCTTTTATTGTTCCTTATTTTTTCTCTCACCACACTCTATTTAATAGCATGCATGAATCAGGAATGCTGACAGATACACGCATGCCTTTTCACATCCCACAAGGCACATGGAACTCTGAACACGCTCACCACGGGCCTTTTGGAAGTGGCAGACAGTTAAGAAGTGGTGAGAAAGGAGAAATATAAAATCCTGGGATTGTGGTGGGGGCTCTAATGCAATGGATCTGCAATGTAAACGGCATAGAGGCAGGCCGGATCAAATGGGTAGGTGGCATATCTTTTTTTTTTTTTTTTCTGAGGCAGGGTCTTCTCTGTTGCCCAGGCTGGAGTGCCAGTGGTGTGATCATGGCTCACTGCAGCCTCAACCTCCCAGGATCAAGATCCTCCCACCTCAGCTTCCTGGGTAGCTGGAACTACAGGTGGATGCCATCATGCCCGCTAATTTTTATATTTTTTGTAGAGATGGGGTTTTGCCATGTTGCCCAGACTGGTCTTGAATTCCTGGGCTCAAGCAATCTGCCTGCTTCAGCCTTCCAAAGTGCAGGTATTACAGGCCTGAGCCACTGCATCTGGATGATGTATCATCTATTATTATTTCTAATTCAGTTTAAGGAGATTGATGGAAGCGCCTGCTCCTTTAGAGCTGATACCAGAATGTTATGAAGTATGTAGTCCAGCCCGGTCACCGTACTTTGAAAGTCATTGTTCAACCCACATGAAGGAATTCAAGACAGAATTCAGTGGAAAATCATACCAAATACAGAACAGTTGAGGGATCTTGTTGATACTAAGTACTGTAATTTTTTTATGTTATCAATGATAATAACAGCTACCTTTTCCTGAGTGCTCTCTATGAGCCAGGCACAAGGCTAGACCTTTTCTATTCATTACTGCTTAGCGGGGTTGTTCAAAATATTTAACAGTCAGAATAGACTCTGGTTGTAAATAACCAGTGCTAACAGACGCTGGCTAAATAGCAACCTGACATCAAATCATCACTACCCCTGAGGCTATAAATCAACAGTGCATGGGATATATATGGGTGTGGATGTGTTCTATGTGCCCCGGACCGTGTTTAATTTTCAAAAATTTGTTATGGTATATAAAAGAAATCATGAGTTTCTTTCTTTCTTTTTTTTTTTTTTTGTGTGAGATGGAGTTTTGCTCTGTTGCCCAGGCTGGAGTGCAGTGATGCGATCTCAGCTCACTGCAACTTGCCTCCTGGGTTCAATCGATTCTCCTGCCTCAGCCTTCTGAGTAGCTGAGATTACAGGCAGTGCCACCATGCCTGGCTAATTTTTGTATTTTTAGTAGAGACAGTGTTTCACTATGCTGGCCAGGTTGGTCTCAAAATCCTGACTTCAGGTGATCTGCTTGCCTCAGCCCCCCAAAGTGCTGGGATTACAGGCATGAGCCACTGTACCTGGCCCAAATCGTGAAATTTTATCTAAACATCTTAACTTTATATGCCCTTTAACTAAGCCCTACTACACAGGATCTACCTACTACACTGACTGTAACAGGATCTCTCAATCAACTCATAGGCCTGCTGCACCCCACAGCACTGAGTTCTAGCCCCTGAAAACCATGAAGATGGAGCCCTGCAGAGGCTACATCCTGCAAGGCAGGCCATTGGGAGGTGAGTATCACTTAGGTATCTAAGTACCCTAGAGCCTCTTAGGTAGCTCACCTGCTTTCTCCCTTGCACAGATCTCCACCACTTTCTCTTCTATCTCACCAGCCCTCTTCCCTCACTCATATTATCTGCTTGGCCTCTGTAGGCAGCTGAGCCTGTGACCTCTTCTGGAAGCCAACACCCCACTCCCTGACTGGAAGGAGGACCAGTGTCTTCCACTTAAAGAGATGATTCTCTTGGCTGGACTCAGTGGTTCACACCTGTAATCCCAGTACTTTGGAAAGCTGAGGTTGTTGGAGGATCACTTGAGCCCAGAGTTTGAGACTAGCCTGGCAAGACCACATTCATTCATTCATTTATTATTTTTTACTTATTTATTTTTGGGATGGAGTTTCACTCTGTCGCCCAGGCTACAGCGCAGTGGCGCCATCTCAGCTCACTGTAACCTCTGCCTCCTGGGTTCAAGCGATTCTCCTGCCTCAGCCTCATGAATAGCTGGGATTGCAGGCACACACCTAGCTAATTTTTGTATTTTTTAGCAGAGATGGGGTTTTACCATGTTGGCCAGGCTGGTCTCAAACTCCTGAGCTCAGGGGATTCGTCCACCTCGACTTCCCAAAGTGCCAGGATTACAGATGTGAGGCACCACGCCCGGCAAAGACCCCATTCATTTAAAATTAAAAATAAAACATTTGGCAGACGTAGTGGTACACTCCTATAGTCCCAGCTACTCAGGAAGCTGAGGTGAGAACATTGCTTGAGCCCTGGAGGTCGAGGCTGCAGTGAGCTATGATTGTGCTACTGCACTCCAACCTAGGTGACAGAGAAAGACCCTGTCTTCAAAAAAAGAAAAAAAAAAAAAAAAGATGATTGTCCCTGCTACCTCCCTCTGGTCTCTGCCTAGCTTCCCTGGCTGAGCACCTAATGCTAAACTCCACAGCAGTGATTCTCAACATTGAGAGCACATCAAGGTACCTGGAGAGCCTATTAAACACAGAATACTGGGCCCTACTCCTAGAGTTTCTGATTCAGGAAGTCTGGGTTGGAGCCCGAGATCTTCATTCCTAAAGTGCCCAGGTGATGCCGATACCGCTGGCTGTGACACTGCGTGCTGATATTGCATACTGATGGACAGCGCACTTTGCAAACCACTGTGCTACAGCTAAAACATGACCCCGGGCGTCCGCTGGGTTCTATGCCAGTGGGGATGGGAGCACGTGCATCTTTCCTCTAGCCGAGTGAGGAAAGGAAGGTTCACATTTCGAGGTCTCATAAACAACCCCACAAAAACCATATGAGTCTCACCTCTGAGTTCCTGGTTTCCTGAACACAGAGCTCACTCTTCATTTCCAGGTTACCTTTTCATCTTTTTCCAAATGGCCCCATAAAAGCGTGATGCTGCTCATGACACATGTGTCTGTATATTTCACCACTTCAATCCCAATGTACACACAGACATTATCTTAAGGAATAGCAGCAGGATTCTGCCCTTCAAAGACCCTACTCCTGAGACACTAATTAATGTATGACACAGCTAACAAAAACAATGATCACCTCTCTGTGAGTGCCTCGTATGTATCAGTCTCCTATGAAGTGATTTGTGCATCATAACAATCCTCTGATGTCAGAACTATTCTCGTCATTGTATTACAGATGATGACACAGTGGATCAGAGGGAAACAGACTGGTCCCAGTTCACCAGCTCTGAAATAACCAAGGGATGATTTGATCCATTGTATTCACTGAGAGTCAGGCACGATTAAGGGTATTGTGCTCAATTTTGTGTCTGTATTTTAAGATAGATGTGGATGTCATGGAAAACAACAGGCACCTTGAAGTGATGTCCTATGGTACATGCTTGTGGAGGCGGGTGCGGGGGAGCAGGGTTTAACTGGAAATCACAGGATTCAAGAAGGAATCAGGCTGGGTGTGGTGGCTCACGCCTGTAATCCCAGCACTTTGGGAGGCTCAGGTGGATGGGATCACCTGAAGTCAGGAGTTCGAGACCAGCCTGGCCAACACAGTGAAACCCCATCTCTACTAAAACTACAAAAATTAGCCAGGCATGGTGGTGCCACCTGTAATCCCAGCTACTCAGAAGGCTGCGGGAGAAGAATTGCTTGAACACGGGAGGTGGAGGTTGCGGTGAACCAAGATCACACATTACACTCCAACCTGGGTGACAGAGTGAGACTCCAAAAAAAAGAAGAAGAAATTAGAACCTGCATCTGAAAATGTCTGAAGGTTAATCCAGAGAGAGAGAGGCTCTAGCGGGAGTTCTGGGAAGGCTGATCTGATGGCAGTGTACAGGTTGGCAATAAAGTGGAACTGGCTGCCTCTAGAGGCCATGGCTTCCTACACCAGGAGGCATCCAGGGAGAAACGGGACGCACGGAGATTGGTGTAGAGCTGTGATTCTAGCCGTCTGGGATGGGGGAAGGTGCGGCACTGGGAGAGGTGAACATCACCTGGGAGACTCCTGAATTATGTGCCCTTTGCCTCTGGGCTTCCTGGTGGGCCTCCAAGAGAGTCAGACTTTCTGAGGCTTGGATTCTCCCTTCATCACGCTGGCTGAGTGACCTCGAACAGAGCACTTAACCTCTCTGAGACCCTGCTTCCTCTTCCATAACATGGAATGTCAGCACCTTCCTTCAGAGGCTGTTGCGTGGATTTAATTTGATGCTGCATGAGAAATGCTTAATATGGAGCCTAGCACGTAAGTGCTCAAGAAATTAATAACAATACTAGTATCAAAATAACTACCGTTATGATCTTCTTCATCCTAACAACCCAGACCCTCACGACATTAGGTTTCAATGGCGGTGTTTATATTCACTCTTCAGCCTCAGTCAGTAGTTCTACAACCATCATCAAGTCATCAGGTCTGCCCTCTATTTAATTTCACAAGGAAATATCCTCCCAGCAGAATCACAGTTTGATTAATTCAGGTGCAAACTCTTCTTTCCTGATGCCGACAGGTACTCCCTGCTGAGCCTTTGGGGATAGAAAACCTTCCCGTGGTTACATGGACCGTGGGAAATGTGAGAGTTTTATTCTTGTGTTATAAAAGTTATGTCAAAGCCATCTCCACACCCAAAGCCTCCAGGAGGGGGTCTTCGCTTCAAGAGGATGTCAGTCTCTGCTTCACTCTGCTTCGCCTTGGGTGGGAGCTGGCTGCTGAACTGCTGTCTTATTTACTAACTCAGACATAGTGTATGTTTCAGAATTAAATTTAAATGCTGTTGAGATAAACAACATGACCTTTTCAATGTCAGTATGAAGAGAAAATGACACAGTTGAACCAAGAGAAAGAATGAGGGCAAAATTAGATCCTTTATCACAGTCCAGAAATGGATCTGAACTCTGCTCACCCAAGAACCATTCTCAAAAAGTTGTCAGCTAAGACAGTTACAATAATTGAATCGATGAAACAAAAATTCAATAGGCATCGTCATTTCCATCTTTATTGAGGCCGAGCTGGGCCAGTGGAAATGTCCATCTTCGTACCTGGTGACTTTGTGCATACGTGTGAACACATACACCCATGTTCAAGTAGACACATCGACGTCTACCCTTCAGGAAGCATTTGGAAAACACGGGGCACAGGAAAGAATACGTTGTGTGTGAATACTCAACAGTCAGAGATAATGGGTTACTTACAGCTTTTGGCTTATATGGGGGCTGGATCTCTTTGCGTTCAAGTTTCTCCCAATCAATATACCGGAAAAATGCATGCTCTTTGATATCACGTTCACCTTCAGGTCCGCAACCCAGACGTTTGCCCGGGTGTTTGGTCATCAGCTTCGAGAGAACGAAAAACATTGAATTTGATGAGTTTCAGAAGAGGAAATGGGAGACACTCAGAAATTATTACTCCAATGCATTAGGAAAGAAAGCACAAAGGATCTCAACTCATTTTTGTTTTTTGCTTTTTATCCCAGCAAAGAATCCCAGCCAGGACTTTGTAGGCGAAAACCCAACAACAGGGCCTGCTGCTACCCATCCTTTCCGGTGAATCAAACCGAAGCCTGAATGTGGCCCTGAACTTTAAGTTAGCAATGTCGCAGGATCCATTTTGGTTCAAGAATAAGTTTTATGCAATTACCAGTGCATTTAATTAGGACAGTTTCAATATCGTCACACTCCCCTCCTCCCACAACAAGAAAACTGGAGATTGACGAAAGCAAAGGCTACATTCATTCGGATACTATTTACATTTCTCAGTAAAGCGTTTGCAAAAATGCCAAAGCAGAAGAAAAAGTATTAGTCAAAGGGGCCCAAGTTTCAAGTAATTACTTTCTGAAAGCTCATTAAATAGTCAAAAACCAGCCCAGCTCATTTCCCTTGTATCATATATTACATACAACGCTGCTGAGGTTTCTTTGGTGTTCCGTTTAAATTACTTAATTATCAAAACCCTCCATCTTTGGGTCTCTGAGTGCTAAATAACAAGATGAATAGATGCTGCAAGATGAAACCAGACAGGCTTCCTCTTGTAAATGAGTCCAAAGCAGCATGAAAATATCTCTG